CTCTGGTACCTGGCCTGCCGTTTTGGGAGAAGATGTCACCACCGCTGTCTCGTCACTGACTGTCAATATTGAACGAACGAGTTCCTCACAAACATAGCTGCCCGAATCCGAAATTGCCTCAAGAACCTGTCTCTCCGTACCTTCGACCCTGATGGTTGTGTCATCTACGAACGTTCGAAGAAGAATATGTAGCCCGTATTTGTCATGAGCTCTAGACAGTATGTGACCCAAGAAAGCCTTCGCCATGCGACCACCATTCAGTGAACCAGCCACAATACCACGCTCAGCTTGAATGGAATGCGAAATCCAAGATCGATCCTAAAAATCTGGGCGCCAGACACATCGGAAGTTTCAGCGAAACTATAGCGGCAGGAAATAGTTGAACCGCAGAACATAGCCTATACAGGTCCAGACTGCCATCGAACTTCTGCCAGTCCAGCAACAACGTGGCCGATGACATCTGGAGTCCTCGCCCCGATTCGTCGAGCAGACTGTGTACCGACGCTGCCTGTAGCGTCGAGGAACCTTGTATCTCCGCGTCCCAGTGCTCGCCCGCATCAATGGTCCACTGCACTGTATCTGAACTGCGGACCTTCGCTCACAGCTTCGCCAAGAACGGCAATGGCCCCAGGGCGCGGTCTCCCCCTCGCGGCTTGGGTGCCACAGCTACGATGACCACGAACACTTGGCCAGGCCATATGCAGTGTTTCTCGATGTCCGCATAGATGCATCTCAGCTGCTCCATGGCCTCTGACGGTAGACGCTGCACCTCCAGTGGGCCCATCGCCTCTTCGCCCTTGGACTGTTTGGCATTCATGTTAGAGACAGCCTTGCGCATCATGTCAGTCGTGATCTCAGGTAGCTCCCGTTCCTCCGCACGCAGGTTGACGCATTCCACGCCTTTCAGAACTTTCTCCTTCGTGAAATTGGGGCTCGTCCATACCATGGCCTGCCACTTGTCCGCCCTGTGGTCCACCACTTCGTTTGCAGAGGAGAACGCACTCGTGGCCGTGATGATCTCGTCTGGCTCGTCGATGGTGCCTCGTGCGCACCTGCGGAGCACTCCTGGAGTAGACGTCCAGACCTCCCGTCGCCCATGCATGGACGCCGCGCTTTGGGTCCGTCATCGCCTTGCCAATCTGGCGGTTCTTGGATATCCCCGAGCTCTCACATAGCTCTGTGGAGTTCGCCTCCTCCAACTCCGTCATTACCGTCATCGTGCCTTTCCATCGCAGAAGCGAACCCTCCTTGTAGATTCTGCGATTGCGCAACCTCCATAAACTATTCAAACTTTCCGTAAACCAAATCCAAGCCGGCAGACGAGCTCGTAGTAGCAGCGTAGCACATGTTTTCCACCAGTCGCATCGCGGATCACGAAAGTGAGGTCTATCTGGCGCAGCTCGCGTCTGCTCCCAAGACTCCTGATACCCGCAGCCCCGTTCACGTACTCGAGCAGCTTCGCGATCTGGTAGACCACGATGCCTAATCGTCGCCTCCTCAACGGGGCTGGTTCTGACCGAGCAGCTCTTCGCAATGGAGCCGCGAGCTGCCTGAATCCTATCCAGGAGGAAGTGCGGGGTGGGCGTCCACATTCCTACCTGGCATAGTGCCTGCGACTCCTGCCACTGCTCCGTGCTGATGCTGAGCGCGACGCCCCCTGCCGATATAGCCTTCTCCTGGTTCAGCTCCTCGTAGGCCTCTCACATGTGCTCGCGAGCCGTGATCATGGTTCTGCTCCACCATCCATTCGCCGCACTTCAAGTGGATGCACACGCCTGCATGCGTGCGCCACGGTACCTCAGGGACGATGCTGGCCTGTAGAGAGTTTGCAATGCCGTTCTTCGCGATCACGTAGTCGATGAGCGATCCTCGTCCGCGATTGCAGGTCACCGCCCCATTGTTCATCAAGACCAGCCTCCCATCAAGTTTGGTGGGTCACCTGTCCCAATCCTGCGGCCTGGCGTTCCAGTCGCACACGAGGATCCACGGGCCCCTGATGATCTGCAGAAATGCCGCCAGTCGGAGCAGCATCTTTTCGTTGGCCCCGCCAAACACGTAGCAATTAGCATGACACCACAACAAGGTTACCAACTCTCGCATGCCATGCCACTGGCCAGAACCAGCGAAAACAAGCATCTCCCGTAGGAGCGCGCTCAGCTCCGCGTAGTTATTCGAAGGATGTGGTCGCCGTCCGCTTCTGGGTGATGATCCATTCGCCGCCAGTGGTGCCACTGTGTGATCGTCCCGTCGCCGTAGACTCCGTCGCCAGAAGCTTCCATCCATCTTTGCCTAGGTCCGCCTTCGCCTTCTGCAACTTCTCTCCTGACGCGGGTGCCTCCGTACATCCGATCATGTCGCATGAGTGATCCGGATTGCGCTTAAATGACCTCGCGGTAGCATTCCGATATGTTGCTGGAGAAGTTCGCACCTGTTGATGCCGATTCCGCGTCGTGCTTGGCGTTGGTGCTAGTACAGGTAGCATCCGTGAACTGCACCGCGCGTGCGTTACCCACGTGGAGGGGCAGAGCCAGAAGCCGAAGAAGAAGAAGCACCACCAGCAGCAGCACCCTTTTTTCACCAGCCTTGGCCTTCTCCACGATCTTCTTGCGCTCCGCCTCCAAGACAGACTTCCGCTCATCTTCAGCAGCCGCATGGACTTCCGCGGGCAGATGTTCGTCGCCGCGCACCGCGGAGTCCTTGGGAGCGTCGTCTCCCGCAGGCTCCTCCACCTCCGCGCCGACGCCTCTGGCTGCCTGACCTCGCCCGTCGACGCGTTGCCGCTCCGTGGCCCCCGAGCGGATGCCCTGAACCCTGGCGAAGTGCTCGTGGACCGCCGCGAGGAGGAGGAGGAGGAGGAGGAGGAGGAGGAGGAGGAGGAGGAGGTGGATGGCCGCCACCTGCTCGCACTTCTCCTTCACGATGTGCTCCAGCTCGCGCAGCTTCTTCTGCTCCTCCTCGTCGAAGGTCGCGACATCCTTGAACAGGTCGTCATCCACCGCGAAGACCACGCGCATGCCGTCCGCTGTGTAGCCCTGCGGAACGTGATTGATGTCCGCCTCCTCTGCCGCCTTCGCCACGGCCTTTGCGCGCTTCGCCTTCGCCACCGCATGTGCAATGGCC